TGGTGTTATAATCTTCAAGGCGTCTCCTCCAACAAAGTTTTAAAGATTTTTTTTTTTTAGTCCTCTCCTTCCCACTTGTAACAAAGAGCTTATTTTTACCTTTAAAGAGCAGGTTTTTCTGTGCTCCTTTGCTTTCTCCGTAAGGAAGGGGAGTGAACTTTCCTTCAGCACTTTCGCCGTTGTAACAAATTCTTTTGGAAACAAATGTATCAGTCCAAAAATTAGGTTTCCAGGGTGTTTTGAAAGTAACTTAATGTCCCGGTTCAGCCAAGAAAACTTCTCCTTCTGGCTCTTCCTCCTACACAATCTTATCCAGTTGAAGATTTCTTTGTGGCTGCCATTACTGACAGCCGCTCCACCGCCTCAGGAAAAAGGAGTCGAGCTGGCTGGGGAAAGGGGGTGCGATATCCCCAGACCCCTGCCCGGATCTCCTCTGTCTTCCACTGCCCCTTCAGGGCAGCGACAACCCCCAAATCTGATTGGATCGGGGGTACCTCAGCGGCGAGCGCAGCAGGGACCCGCAGAGAAGCGGATTCCGCCACCGCCGAAGCCTTGCAACCGGAAGTTTCCCCAGTCTTCTTGTTTTGCAGTCGTTTCTTGTTGTTTCTCATAGTTCCAAATCTCCATTTCTAAGAATTGAAAAACGAAGCCAAAAGAACCCTTCCCTTCTTGTGCATCTTCTTTGTACTTTTTAAGTTCCATTTTCAATTCATCCAGAAGTGGTGCCATTGTGTAAATTTTTAAACAACCACCCGATTTATTTTAGTCATTCAAATATAATAACCAAGAATCCAAAGATCACCAAATAATCCAAATACACGCAAGCTGTTTCTTTTTTGCTCTTTTTTTTCACTTTCTCTTCCTGAGGTTACTATTTAGTTGCAAAGTTTCAGTTAAAATGTATCTTTTAGAAGTCTTGTTGAAGTTTTACTTTAGATTCTTTTTAATTCCAGGCAGTCTCCTCCCTCTCCCAGATCCTGCCCTTATTTTTCTTTCCCTTCCTGCTTATGAAAAAGAAAGTTTTTAATGTCCAGAAATCTTTATTATCCCTTTGGCATTTTGTTTTATTTTCAGCTTAATTGCCTATTGATGTCAAAGCGGATTTTTCCGATTTCTTGTTTAAGTCTTTTAGTTGTCAGTATAGGGAAGGAGAGAGAAGAAGAAAAAAGCCAAACCTTTCCCTTTTCACTTTCCTTCGCTGCTTCTGACTCTTCTTTGGGAGCAGTGTTATCTTTTTGTAAGTTTAAATTCCAGGGTACCTTAGTTGTTGCTTTTACAATTTAACCCGGTCAGCCAAAACTTTCGCTTCTTATCTACCTCCTGCACATTCTTTTCCGGTTGAGTTCTCCTTTGTGGTGGCCATTTCTGACCATCGCTCCAACCGCCTTTGGGAAAAGGAGTAATGGCCAGCTGAGGAGGAGAGATGCAGCTCTCCTCAACCCTGCTGGCGGTCTCCCCCCTCTTCATCACCTCTACGGGGTGGCTTAGCCCCGAAACCAGCCGGCTCAGGGCGCTCCAGCGGTGAGCCCAGACAGAAACCACGCACGATCATGGATTTTGTCTGTCGCCAAAGCCCTTCAAACCGGAAGTCCCATATACTTCCAACCTTTTTAAGGATTCCAGTTCCTCATTCATTGCTTCCTGCCAAGCAGCCGGATCCTTAGCAGGATACAGTTTTAGTTCATTATAGTTATTTGGAACTGTATTCACTTGGCATATAACACTAGCCTGATATCTATCAGGTGGTCATGTTACTCGGGTTGAACGTCTAGGTAATACAGGACTTACTGGTGGACTCTCCTGTTCCACCTGCTCCTGTTCTTTTACCTCCTCCTGTGCCTGTTCTTCTACTTCCTCCTGTGCCTGTTCTTCCTCTTTAATGTCTATTCGTGGTTTACTTATATCATCTTTAGGGACTATTTGGGTGTCAATAATAACATCATTGCTGGATTCCTGTTCCAGTTTATTCCACCCAACGTGCTCAAGAAGTTTAGCACTAGTGCTACAGTAAACATGAGCTGTGCCTTGATCCCAGAATCTAAATGATGTATGGTTGGCTTTGTAACCTACAAAAAATTATTTCCTAGCTCTGTGTTGCCCTTTCAGTCTTACTTGTGAGGGAATATGCACCCATGCTGGAGCTCCAAATGTGTGTAGATAACTTAAATTTGGTTTTCTGCCATGCCAACGAGTGAATGGCAATTCTCCAGTTGTTGTGTTAACTACATTGTTTAAAACATGGTTACTAAACATTATAGCTTCACTCCAAAGAAGAGACAAGCTTCTCTGGCCTTCGTTGACATCTTAGCCTACTCATGGTCAATAACACTGTGGAGAGTGGCAGGCTGCTATTGGGATTTCCTGAGGTTAACTGATGAGCGGAAGCTTGGAACTGTAAACTTCATGAGACATTTTAGGACTACAAAGCTACTAAATTTCCAATGCAGCAGAGCAAGCCTTTCTGAGTTTTTTTTCTAGCTACAATTTAAAGTTTTACTTCTGCATTCTTGTGGGTGTTCTGTGGTCGGGCCTTGGAGAGTTGCTTGGGGGATCCTGGAGCTGGGGAAAAGTTGAATGAGAGTATGTTGGTCCCTTTTCCCCAGGTGAGAGCTGGGGGGAAGAGTGGCTTCCTGCTTGGTGGGTGAGAACTGGGCAGGGTGCTGTTTATGCATCAAGTGGACGTATTCGGATTATATTAGGAGATAAGAAAAGCTGGATGTGACCCCTCTGCAGCAGTAAGGGGTGATGTGAGTTTCAGGGCGCTGAGAGCAAATGCTATAGTGCCTATAAAACTCACCTTGCCCCCAACAATCTGTCAGTGGAAGTAGATTTTTTCTTTTTACCCTTTTTAAAGAAGAAAGTTGGGGATGGGGGATGGAATGGTTCTCAGGGAAGGCAGAGGAAGACACCCTATTTCAGTGGTGTTGAGTAACAGGAGATATGGGAGAAAAGGGAGAGGGCAGGCACAGGGAACACGGCCTCTATGTTTAGTACCAATCTCATGTTCTGCCCCATTGCACTCACCTCATTTTCCTGGTCAGCAGATCTGTGGTGGCCCTGGTCTTAGACTTCTGCTTTTAAATGTGAGATCAGCTTGCAATAAGGCTAGTCTTGTTGCCGATTTGATCCTCGAAGAGAAGGCTGATCTGGCTTGTATAATTGAAACTTGACTGAGCCCAGAGGGAGGCGTTCCTCTTGCAGAAATGGGCCCAGTGGGTTATTGAGCATGGCAACAGTCTAAACCTCAGGGCTGGGGAGGAGGTGTGGCTGTTGTTATCAGAGAATCTCTAGTAGCCTCCAGCGGCACTGTTCAACAAGTCCCCGGATGTGAGATCCTTTTTCTTAGATTGGGCTCAAGGGATCAGGTGGGATTGCTGCTGCTATACCAGCCTCCTTGCTGCGTGACAGCTTTCCTACCTGGGCTCCTGGACCTCACCGCAGGACTGAGAGTGGAATTTCCCAGGCTTATAGTTCTGGAAGATTTCACCTGCCTTCTTTGGGGTCAGAGTCAGAGGTAGCCCGAGATTTTATAGAAACCATGACTTCCATGGGCCTGTCCCAGATTATCCAGAGCCCAACTAGTAATAGTGGTTTGACCCGCTGTTGTTGGGGTGGAGGTGGGGGAGTTGGTTTTTGTTTTTGTTTGTTTTCCCAAACTTTGTTCTATTGTACTTTACTAATTTATTTGATTCTTTTTGTTAGTTCTTTTTGTTTTTATTTTTATTTTAAATATGATTTTACATTGTGTAAGCCGCCTTGAGTCACCATGGGCGAATAGACAGCAATATAAATCAAATAAATTAATTAATTAATGAATGAAAGGAAGGAAGGAAGGAAGGAAGGAAGGAAGGAAGGAAGGAAGGAAGGAGATGTTTGGCCATAATGCACAGTGCCACGTTTGGTGAAAAGCAAACCCAACATATTAGCACATACATTGCATATCAACTCTCAAGCATGGTGGTGGAGAAGTAATGATTTGGACTTGTTTTGCAGGACCCTGGGCACCTTGCAGTCATTGAATCAACCATGGACTCCTTTGTATAACAAAGTATTCTAGAGTCAAATCTGAGGCCATTTTCCGACAACTAAACCTAGATTGATATTGGATCGTGCAACAGGACAATGATCCCAAGCACACTGGCAAATCTACAATAGAATGGCTGGTGGGGGGGAAAGAATCAAGGCGTTGCAATGGTCTAGTCAAACTCAGACCTTAATCCAATTGAAATGCTGTGGTGGGACGTTAAGAGAGCTGTGGATAAATATTGCCCACAGACCTCAATGAACCGAAGCAGTGAGTCCTAATTCCTCCACAACAATGTGAGAAACTGATAAGAGTTATGTAGAAAATGATTACTTCAAGTTGTTGCTGATAAAGCCTGTTCTACAAGATATTGAATCATAAGGTGTACTTTCAAACACAGTCCTCCATTTTTGTAAAATAAATTATGACAGCAGAGGCGGTATTCAGCAGGTTCTGACCAGTACTGAAGAACTGGTAGCAGAAATTTTGAGTAGTTTGGAGAACCAACAAATACCACCTCTGGCTGGAGATTTTACAGTATCCTTCCCCTGCCATGCCTAACAAGCCACGCCCACAGAACCAGTAGTAAAAAAAATTGAATCCCACCACTGGATGACAAGAAGTAATATGTACTGTAGTTTATCTGAAGTTGTATTTACCTATTTTTAAGAACTGCAAAGGATCAGATTTTACTATGTCCTGATACATAAAACCATAGAACTCAAAAAGAGTATAGTTTCTTTTTCATATGTACATATTTTTTTCTTTCTTCTTCCCTTTTTCCTTTTTTATGTCCCTTTTTCCTTTTGTTTCTGTTTGTTTTCTCCTGTTTCTATTTGTCATTTATATTCATTTTAAAAAATAGAAATGATATTTTAATAATATGTTAATTCTGATAAACATTTAAATTCTAATCTTGAAAGCTACACTATTTGCATTTTGGCCATTTAACATTTAAAAGTATTTTTCTTTGCAGATTGCAGCTACATTAACATTACCATTTGATGTAATAAAAACACACCGACAGACTGAACTTTGGGAACTTGATATTACACATTGTAAGTTTTTTTAAGATTCAGAAGTATTCTAGTACCATAATGTCTATTTGTCTATTTTAGTGTAGACAAAACCCTGTCTGTGGCCTCAGGCTTTTATTATTGATGTGTATAATATCAAGAATTAAATATGTTCAATCCTGGAATCTATGGACTGTGTTTTTACCTCTATAAGGAGGAAAATAAGATTCAGAAAATGTTAAATTACGTTATACATTTTTGAACAAATTGTTAAAACCTGAAGTTGTCATATTAAAAAAAGAACTTTTTCTTGTTTATAGTATACAACTTAGGATAGAAAACACAATGATTTTATTACAAATACTACTGTGAGAAATTTACTTTTAAATTTAGTATAGTGCATGACTTCTGATTATAAGGAATATAATAAAATGCTTGTTTTGTAGCTTTTGGACCTGTCATTTAAGTGGGCTTGTTTTAAATCTTATGTTTGTTAAAAACTGCCTTATAGTTAAAAGACAAGAGATGTTGAGAACGGTTTCTCACTGTATCTTATCTGAAAATAGTCTGTCAAGATTAATGTTATTATCATACCATGGGTGAAACAAAGTTGACATTAAATCATATTAAATAAGTGTAGAAAAATGAGATGTGTTTTCTTTTACTCAGCTCCACAGAAGAAAACTAGATCAATATGGGAAGTAATGAAGAGAATTGTGATTGAAAATGGATTTACTGGATTATTTACTGGTAAATTCTTGTTTGCTGCTGACTGTAAAATATTTTATTTCTACATATTATACATATAGCAATATCAAAGTTTTTACCACAAAATCTAAGAAAGCTTTTACCATATTGCAGATTTCCCAATAAACTATTTTGCCAACTTTGAAAAATAAAACTCCAAAATAAATAAAATCTTAGGGATAAGCTCAATAGATTAGTTTGCAAATATTTATTAGTGTCTTTGATGAAGTATATTGTTTTAAGTTTTTTTCCAATGTGTAGTTTTTTGTGTTACCTCATTTTTCAATACTTATAATTTTTCTTTTCCACAGGTATTATTCCAAGATTGTCAAAAATTGCTCCTGCTTGTGCCATAATGATCAGCACATATGAATATGGGAAAACTTTTTTCCGTAGATTAAATAAAGACAGAGATATGAAGAACTATTAATGTTGTTTCTGTAAAATTGAAATGATGTCAGTAGTTAGTACCCATAAAGGTCCACATAAATTGTATTTTATTACATAGTTTTTGCGCCCATTTTACGCCCAAGTCTCTACCAACATTATGTTCAGAGTTATTCCTTGATCATGCTTCAAACATAAAAATAAAGTTAATCTTGCATAAACATATGGGAGAGAAAAGATTGAAATAAGTATATGTTCCTGCAAAAGGAAGTGAGTACATAAACTTTAGAGCAATTTTCAGATACATACAGTTGTACCTCACTATTTGACTGCTCTGAAAGTTGTAGAATTTGGTACTTGACACATTTTATATTGACACATTTGGTACTTGTCGTTTGTTTTGTATTCAACACACACTCTAGAACTGCCAGTGGGTTTCACTGTCCTTTCCAGCCAAAATAAAGGGCCACGTGTTATCTCTGGCCCTATGCACATTCTCTTGTGGTCTTAGTTTCTGTAGTCAGTATTTTTGTGCTTTTCTTCTAATTATGGGTCCTAAGAAAAAGAAGAGTGATAGCATTGAGTAAAAAAGAAAATTCTTCGCACCACCAATGAGCAGAGAAATAATAGACAAATATGAGAGTGGTATTCGCCTTACTGGTCTTTCTAGGGAATACAATATGCCTAGAACAATATTATTAAGAATAAAGAAGTTTCAAAACACTTGAAGTTGAAAAGTTGTTGTTAATTTGGGTAAATAAAAACAAGAAGCAGTGAGTGACATTGTGTCAGAAAGCATGATATGTGAAAAAGTGAATCTGTTGCATGATGATCTTTTGAAAAACAAACACAACCAAGTGGTGAGAGTGTTGAAGTTTTTAAGGCTAGACATGGTTGATTTGATAATTTTAAAAAGAGGATTGGCATCGATAGTGTTGTGAGTCATGGCAAGGCAGTGAATGCTAATAAAAAGGCTGATGATGAATTCACTTGTGAATTTCATACAGGCTGATAATTTTATTCCCTACCAGTTTTTTAACTATGATAAGACCGAACTTTTTCAGGAAAAAAATGCCAAGTAAAACTTACTTCACAAAAGAGCAGAAGGCACTACCAGGCCACAAACCAGTGAAAGACATCCTATTGATCTGTGGGGATGCTCGTGAGGTCTTAAACTCAAACCTCTACTGGTCTATCATAGTGAAAACCTGCAAGTTTTCAAGAAGCATCAAAAGGAAACTATGTGGTGTGGAGAGCAAACAGCAAAGCTTGGGTCATGAGGCAATTTTTCACCAAGTGTATAAATAAAATGGTCCCTCAGTGAAAAAATATTAGCTGGAGAAAAATTTGCCTCTGAAAGATCTAATAATGGACAACACACATGCCCGCTCTCCAGGATTGCATGGTGACTTACTAGAAGAGTTCAGCTTCATTACTATAAGATTCCTGCCCCTTGTTAGTATTCTCACACAGCCCATGGATCAGCAAGTCATTTCAAATTCAAGAAGTTTTACTCCAGGGTGCTTTTTTAGAGGTGTTCTGAAATCATTTCTGACACACAGTTGACTCTCACAGAATTCTAAAAGAAGTATTTCAATATCCTGCACTGCCTTAACTTTACTGTTAAGTCCAGAAACTGACAGAGAAACTTTGAAAGCTTTGAGGCTGACCCTAAGCCTGCCAGCACAATGTACTGTTGTGCAGGTTATTATATCTTTTGGAAAATTCAGAGGTCTAGAGATCAGTGCTGCTGATTTTGAGTTAGGAAAGTATGAAGAGCTTAGAACTGAGAATCTGCATGAATGACAGCAACAGCAACAAGTAATGGCTAAAAAGATTTCAGATTATGAGATAAGGAAGGATGTCCCCAGTTCCTTGATAAATGTGTGGAAAATGGGCAGAAGTTCAGAAGGGGGAAGAAATACCTCCCAGGCAAAGCTTTGACAAACATAAATGAATTTATTCAATTACCAAACAATTTCACACTTTCAAGGAATTCTGAAAAGAAAACAAGCAGAGTGTCAGAATCTGGTGCAAGTTGAAAAACTGCAAGGAAAAAAGGGGCAATGTTGTGCAATGTGCAATGTTTTATTGGGGGACTCTTCTTCCAAACAACAGTCTGTATAACCTCTCCTGCTCACCATTCTCCTCCCACCATCCATGTAAGGACATTATCAAATGAAGACCAAGAGCCAACTCTGGGCACATCAGAGAAGGGCACAGGGAAGCACCAGGAAGACACTGAGGTCTGTTCACTTTGAGCAGAAAATGAATGGTCAAAGGAAGAAGAGAGGCCAAGAACTTTGGAGAGGCCATCAAGGGAATGACTAGAGAAGTGACTGGCTGGAGAAGAGAGTGGAGATGCAGATGCAGCTGGAGGGAGACCCAGTCAGAAATGCAGAATGGAGAAGGATCGCAGCTACATTCAGTCAGTGGGATGAGGAGTGGCTTCCTCCACCAGATCCTAGAACACATAGGACTGAACAGAGGGAGGCACAACAGAGTCAGCGAGGCTACCCACGAGGAAGCAGTCTCATCCCTCCCAATTAATCATACCAACACGCACCTATTTAGCCCAATGCATGGAGCACTGCAAGGTTGGAAATAGCTGCCTGTTTTTTCTGCTCTGCATGTGCTCCAACTCCATGACTCCAGTTTTTGTGACTTCAGACCTATTCCAGGAACCAATTATGTCTGGATTTCAGACCTGCTTCTCTCATTTTGGATTTGTGCCTTGACTTGGATTCATTGTATGTAGATTTTGAATTGTGCCGGTGTGTGTGGACTTGCAAATTTGTGCCTTTGCCTGTGGACTTTATAACCCTGTGCCTAGTTTGAGCAGGCTTGGACTCAGGAATTTTGCAGTTGATGAAAGGGGGACCAGTCGTAATGAAGTCTTTAAAACTCCCTGTGATATTGCACATGTGGACTGGGACAAGACAATCTCATTACAACATATACTTTTCTCAGTACAAGTAAAATGAAGTTTTTATTTTATTCAATCTTAAGAACAGTATTTATTAACTTTTAGATTGATTTCTCATGTAATGATGTACAAACCCTATTTTTACTTATTGCCTTAAAATATGCGTTGTCTTTGGTTCAGGAACACATTAAACTTAGTCACATTATTTTTATGGGAAAATATTGTTTGGTGCTCATCGTTTTGATACTTGTCATGCCTCCAGGAACCAATTATCAATGAGGTAAGTAATTTTTAATTTTTACAAATTAGTACCAGTATTTATGCCTTGGAAGAAAACTTTCAAGTGATTGGGAAAAAAAAATGACATATTAGGTAGTCAATGTTCGTATGTGTATTTGAAGAGGTTACAGAAGTAGCATGAACTAAATATTTCTGGTGCCTAATAGAATTTTCTAAATATTTAAAGAAAACATCTCTATATGTTACATTTTGTTATCTACCTAGTGTGTGTGTGTGTTTTCCAATAAAAAGCAAGTTTTCAGTATTAGAATAACTGTTGTTCCTAGCATTTGTCTATAGCACTGTCTTGCTTAGCAATAGAAATTTTGGGCTCAGTTGTCATAAGCGAAGGACTACCTGTATTTGTATAATAATTGTTGATAAAATACACTCATACTTTAAAAGAGCATGTTGTCTTAAATAATTAGATTCCAATGATAATGAAATCAGTTTCTACAGTTGATTTGGCTGCTTAGTGCTATTGAATGTAATCTGGGCAGTATTCCAGTCACCAAGAAATAGTACAACTATAGGTAGCATTGGTACAAAATGTTTAATGTATCTGCAATGTTGATACAACAACTCAACACATTTGCATAAATTTTCATTCTGAAAGCTTGGCAAGTTTTCAAATTCAAGGCAGTCTCTTCATGCACAAGCATCGATTCAATTGTTTTTTTCATACATACATTAAAATTTTTCATCGCAACTATTCCAATCAGTCATCAGCTATTATAAAAAACGTAACTCTTCTAAATCAACAACTTACTGAACCATACTGGATTTCACATACAAGCTTGTTAGTGTTAGTCTACGTTGTATTTCTCATTATGTTTTTAAACGATATTAATTTCACAAGAGATAACATGCATTAAATTATCAGGTAGCTAGTATATGTCATTTGACAAAGCAGGAGCTATTTCATTTAAAAGTTTAGCTCACCATATACGTTAACACAGTAAACTTACCAATACAAGATTTTGAATAATCATGTGCTTCCCTATCTCATTTGTTTCTCAAAGCAAGTCTTACTGGAGGCACATCATTTATTTAAATTATTAGTAGTCACACTGACAATTAAATTTCTGCACTTGTAGATACCCACATGTTGCAGCACACTAGTAAACAATGTACAGAACTTCTTTGGCACAATAAAGCATTTCCTCATACTCCTCAAAATTAGAGGTCCCTGTAAGTATGAATGTTTTACACAAGATTGTATTAATATACTCAACCATTGCCAGTAATGCTGGAAAATAAACTCTTACTCAATAGAATTGCACTTCAAAGTTTAAATCGCAAAGCTTCAAAAATTAAATAAAGTTTACTGTTACCATAGTTATTTGGCCCTCATTTTAAAATTTTATTACAGAATAAATAGCAAAAAATAGATTTGAATCAAAAAATTGCAAAATATTTAAAACATTTATATGAAAATTTAATGTAACATTTTCGTAGAGGTTTTAGAATGAACCACTATAATTGTAAATATTTTCTTTGCAGATTGAATCTAGTGGTTAAGAATATTTTTCCTTTATACTGGAGTTTAGTCTTAATTGTTAGTTGTTTGCTGAAAACATGAATATTGTTATGGAGTTGATATGTATCTTTGTTTTCAAAGACAGTTATTAAACAGTTTTTTAGGTTTATGGAAACAAAAAAGAAAGCATTTTTTTAAAAAGCTAGTTGACATTTTATAAGTCTTAATAATAAATTAAGGAATGCCAATTGAATGCAGACACAGAAGTTTCTTTTTGTTTAGACTTGTTCAAGAAGGTGTTAGTCCAGGACTTGTAATCTCTGTTGTAGGACTTGCAAGATATTCACTCGATTTCAAGCTGGTGAGAGATTTGTAACTTGCAACTGATGTCAAAGAACCACAAAGGCCAAGTAAGGAAGGAGTGTCTTCTTTCCCTATTGAAGAAAGTTTTAACTTTTAGTTTAATAGTAGTAGTAAACACATTATGAGATGTTCTGGGCAGGATTAAATAGTTCTCCTTTCTCTAGATCTAGATAGTGGTTCACCCACTGCTATTTCAAGAAAGAAAATAGCATTGTGTACTTCACATTCTTCTTTCAAGCTCCTATTATATGTGCTGATGAGTATATAAAATCATACATTGCAATGTCCTTTCTGCAAATGAATACTTCAGCTTCAATCATAACAATACAAGAACACACAATAGATACAAACTCAAGGTTAACTGCACCAAACTTGACTGCAGAAAATACGACTTCAGCAATAGAGTGGTCAATGTTTGGAATACTCTACCTGACTCTGTGGTTTCTTCCCCAAACCCCAAAAACTTTAACCTTAGACTGTCTATTATTGACCTCACCTCCTTCCTAAGAGACCTGTAGGGGGCGTGCATAAGCGCACCAATCGTGCCTACCATCCCTGTCCTATTGTTTCTTTTTATTTTTCCTATAAGTATCTATCTCATGTATTCAAAACTATATTTATTCTTGTACCTGTATCTTGTAAGCGATTGACAAATCAGATAAATAAATAAAATAAATAAATAAATAAATAGATCTTTCACCCAAACCACTGCTATTTCAAGAAAGAAAACAGCATTGCATACTTCACGTTCTTCTTTCAAGCTGCTATTATATGTGCTGATGAGTAGGGACAAACTCATGGAGTTTCCCGTGTACGCAACATGACAGAATCAAAAGCAAATCACAATACCAGAAATATGCCTATATTTTTCAACATTTTATTTTTTTCCTCTTTGCCTGTTTATTTTCAAATAAGCACTTTTGTTGAAATACCAGCTCTGCTATATCCAAATAAGCTTAGAAAGGTTAAATATTTATTTACCCTAGACAACCCATGACTCATTGGGCCATTATTTCAAAGATATTTCCTTTCCTAAAAAGAGAATCACCACGGGCAAAAAAAACCAGTGGGAACAGGAGTGACTTTTAACTTCCTGGTAATCCTGCTAGGTTTCAAAGTATATCCAGCAGGACTACCAGATTCTAATTTGTTCCCTACCATCCGTCTGGTAAACTGGCAAGGTTCGTTTTTCTTGCCATGTCCATGTATATACCCGAGCTAGACTATGTTGTTCCTCTATGTCATGTATTAGAATTAGAATTCTTTTATTGGCCAAGTGTGATTGGACACACAAGGAATTTGTCTTGGTACAAATGCCCTCAGTATACATAAAAGAAAAGATACATTCATTAAGAGTCAAGAATCATAAGGTACAACACTTGATAATAGTCATAGGGTACAATAACCAATCAAATCATACTAGGAAACAGTCAATATAGATCATGAGGATACAAACGACAAAGTTACAGTCATACAGTCACAAGTGGGAGGGGATGGGAGATAAGGAGTAATGAGGTAGAGTAATAATAATAGTGCAGACTTTGTAAATAGTTGGACAATGTTGAGGGAATTATTTGCTTAGCAGAGTGATGGCATTCGGGAAAAAATTGTTCTTGTGTCTAGTTGTTCTGGTGTGCAGTGTTCTACAGTGTCAAAATTTCATTTTAATGTGTGCCGGTTAGTGTATATTCAAAGTGACAATAAAGATAGTCTAAGTCTACTGTAAATTCTAAGTCTTGCCGCTTTGACTAGCTGACTATCCTTCAGCAGTCTATTGTGGGATTAATCTATCCAGCCTCTGGTGGGCTAGGGTAGAACTTGTCTACCTGATCTCCAGTGGCTAAAGAAGGGGCTGGTCTACTTGATCTCCAGAGGGCTAAGGCAAGACTAATCTACTGAATCTCTGGGCAGGGGCACAGTAGCAGTACTGAAGACCACAAATTTGCCATTTCAATCCCATGGAAGTCATGGATCCTGGATTTTGAACTCATTCTGTAAGTTAGAGGCACCACCGTTCAAACACTGTTGCCCTACAATATACTGTTTCACCCAGTTAAAATTTATAGGCATGAATGTTTTAATAGTATATAATAAAAACTTTAAAAAGTTAAATAAAATTATTTTTAGTCATGGGGAATTTCTAGCCTCAACATCCTTTACAAGATTCCTCAGCTTTACTCCAAAGCTGCTTCCCCATTCTACCAAGCAGAGCTCTGTTTAGGTTAGGGAAAGAAAAGAACATCTCATTGGCTTTTGGTGATGAGCTAACACAACTACAGTGTTTTATTCCACAAGACAAAGCAGTGTCAAAGGTGTTTCAGTCCAGTCCATTTAAAATACCAGACTTACATTGAAATTTAGGTTTATTTTATTTTGTTTACACAAACTGTCCAGCAATTCTATATTTTACCATAAGATGGAGTTATATTCATTATTAAAAATATGTTTTCAATATGACAGCTTCATATTAATTTCAGATCCTGCATTATAATCAATATGAGGACAAATGCTGAAGGATTGCAATTAGCTCTCAAAATCAAAGCTGAACAGACAGCAAAGGGATTAGATACATAGAAATCTTGCATAGATTTGTATTATTTATGCAAATTATATAAATTATACTGTTCTACAAAAAGTAAGAAAAAGCAGGGATTCCATATTCCAAATACTGTCTGAATAAATGTACCTATATTATTCTACCACAATATATACATTAATATCACTACAAATCAGGCAAGTTTAGTTTCAAACCTTCATTAGGGACCAGAAAACACATAAGGTAAACAGATTACAAATAATACATTTATGCTACCATTTATACTAAATTCATTCAACTGAATTTAATTTTGAATTGCAGATTTGTAATTCTCAAGCTATATGTAGAACAATTGAATAGTCTTAGGTATACGTGGAAATTAGTCATTATACACAGATATTGGGATTATTTAACTTACCTTCACTAAGTAAATTAAGTCCATCTTGCTTCTCATCTGCATCTGGTGGATTACCTGGATCCAGGGATGTCTGAGAAAAGCTTACATCAGCAGAGAGCTGATCCAGGCTGTGATAACTCTTTCTGCAATATCAGTGATAATTTATTTCATTACTTTTGAACTGATATGCAGGAGAAATAACTATTTTTTTCACAATTTTCTAATTCCAGTATATCTTTATATACAACTATACATTCTTTAAATTTTCCCCCCTGCCTGTCTCCCAAAATGTGTAATACAATATAGTTCATAAAATTGGAAAAAAGACCATTAATACTATACTAATGAACCCTGAATCCAGTCCATAAACTTTTTTTTAAATCACACTTTTAAATTTTTGCTTATGTTTGATTCTGCATTTTGTATTATTTTAATAGTAGTATATTTGCTATTAGTGTTGGCTTATTTTATGTATTTGAATTTTGTTTGTATATAACTAGCTACAGACTTATACAATATATTGTTCCAGTTGCTATCAGCTCTTAGTAATTATTCAAAGTATCTAGATAATTTGACTGAAAGAAATACTTTTTCTAATAATACTTACAAAAAGTTTCAACAAAATTTCTGTGTTGTTAATATATCATTGTATATTGCAGTAGGTGGTACCATAAAAGCATACATGTGTCACATTCAAAAATCCAGGATACAACTAATGCAGGATACAACTAGTGCATTATTATTTATGCCTTTTATATCATTTGCCTTTACTGCATTGAACTTCTACACTGTTATAATTGGATGACGCTGATGTATTTAGACCTGTAATTTTGTTATATGTACTTCTCTCTGTGTATATGTATGCCCTCAGAGAAACACAAAACTGAAAGTGAATTATGCTAATTGTTTATAATATTTTGTCTTTAAAAATCAAAGTACTAATTTATTAATCCACATTAAATATGCATTTAAAATAGGCTAATCCAGTGAAATATCCTCTTTGAAATATATTAAATTCATAACAACATAGTAAGGGCTGAACTTTACTTTCAATACGTTGAATGTATAAAATTGTGGAAGGGTCATTGGCATATATGTTTGGACCTGCTCCATAATGGCCTCTTTTTGGTTTAATATTAATAGATATCTTAATAGTGTATTGGGAAGATAAATGAGATACAAAGATACTGATGTAATATTGAACTATTTTCATATATTTGGAATTCAACAATATATGGAGGACATAATTTATCAAGCATGAATTATAGCTAGAAATTATTGAAAATACATTCAATCCTGATGAAATATATTCATTTTCTACTATCAGCTTGTTTGGTATTGCCATCTAGACAGTGTGATCCACATTTTTTCATGTGGTCAATTTGTTCTTTAATAACTTTAATTTATTTTATCATGAGTATTCAGAAAAATATTTTCTCCATTTAATTTTGTTCTAGTTTTGTTTTTTCTTTACTATAAGCAATATTTTTTTAAAGTCAGTCTTTCTAAAGGATATATGAATTTTAAAAACATTACTTGACCCCAAAAATTAAAACTTTAAACACAGTGAATATAAACATAATCAGATCCAATTTCTTTAAAACTGTATGTTGCTTGGATGCAAAAGGCACTATTTGAGCAAAGGGTTACCCAAACCAACATCTCATTTATATTCCAAGTCTTTTTCCAATTCATAGTTCTAAGTGTAATTAATCTTTAATATATAAAATGAACAGAAAATAATAATATTTAAATAATAATATTAAAATAATAATCACAGCTACACTATCACTTCCTTACCAGTCACATGATACTATTTTAACCAATTGGAACCTACTGGTACTACTACTACTTTCCTTGTTGTCTGTCTTGTTTTTGCCTTTCACAAAAAGGAAGCACATGCCATGTTGCAAAAGCAAAGATTATCAGCTCATCTCCTTTCACAATAAAAAAATACATGTTTTTTTTTACAAAATATTACATTAAATATAGTTGTAAATTATTTCAATTATTTTTCCTTGAAAAGCAAGGTTTAATAAGATAAAACATAACTAAGCTGTCAAATATTTGATTGTAATACTAGCCCTAAATATTATAAAATCCATCCATGACCAATATAAACTTGTTGGCACTATGTTGGCATAAGTAGAGGGTTAATAATTAAATGGAGTTCTTTAAATCTAACAAAAACAGATGAAGTTCTTATATATTATCAACCTATGGCTGTCTATGGAATTCAAAACTATTAGATGGCTAATCTAAATTATTTAAATAAAGTTAGACACATCAATGGAGAATAGCTCTATCAATAGTTACAAATAGCTATATATTATTTATTATTTCCAAAATAATTGTAAAGTGTGGCAAGACAGTTCGAAAGGTGAACTGTCCCCTACATTGCCTGTTTTGAGATGTTCTAGACTCATGTAATCTTCAACATTGCAATACAAGAAACTGATATAGATAGGTTTGGGGCCTTATTGATAAGGATTTCTTTTACTTTCTTACATATTAACCAAATCAAAATAGAGTTCCTAAGTTTCAAGAAAATGTTGAGAATCTCCCAAAACATATATGCATAAATAAATTGCTAACATTATTTAAAACTATCTTTAAATGTGTGTCTTAAAAAATTATTTATCCACACTTTCATATCATCCAACAAAATATGGTAAGCAGTAATGGCTGAACTGCAGTTTATTGATGTAGAAATCTATATTTGTTTCAAAGAACTCAAGAAAACAAGTAGCAACAAACTCTAAACTATGGTTGAGATAGAATACATCTGAATACGACTACAGTTTTGGTAATTTTCGTTATTAAAAATCAAATATTCATCTTGATATGCATTAATAATAAAGAACCTCATGTTAAACAGTCAATAATATCCTAATGGGAATTTGTACCCAAAATTAAATAGGAATACTCTTATAAGCATGTTTAAATGATCTTAATTATTCTAGTGTACCATATATATATTACCCCAAATAATTTTTGTTCCAACAATTTTAGAAACCCTAACTGAAGATTTTAGCATACTATTAATATTTGTTCCAAATTGAACTAATGCTCAATTAATCAAATACCAGTATTCTCTGATGCACAACATGGTACAATATGCTTAATTATACCTCAACACTTTGTCAGGTTGGGCTAATATGGAGTTGTTAAATTTTAAAAGGAAAAACAATGCAAATCTGATGTAAAATTTAAAGCCTGCCAAAACCTTAATGCTGAACAAAGTATAGAAATCTATACTAAATCTAGAGTTGGGTTATCTCTCTACAGTTCTTTTTTTTAAATATGTTTTTATTAAATTTCTATTGTTTCAACATAAAACATCATAGTTTCAGCAACATTCTTGACATCTATACAAGTTCTTATCTTAAATATCTTAACACATTGTATTTATATTTATCTAATATTAATTAATAACTAGCTGTAATCGTTATTCCCATATTCTTATATAATTTACAAATTTACATTTTACTTTCTTAAGGTTTCTTACAGTTAGATTTCTTGTTGTATTTTTTAGTTCTGTTTGCTAACCAATCATACCATTTATTCTAGATTAGGAAGTATTCAGAATAATCTTTTTCTTTCAATTTCAACATTAACATATTCATTTCGGCACTTTCTGTTACTTTTTCTAATATCAGTTCTTCTTTAGGAGCATTGGTAGTTTTCCATACCTGTGCAAAGGCTATTCTGGTGGCTGTTGTGATATGTAACAATAAATATTTTATTTCTTTTAGTATTCTATCTTTAATAATTCCTTAAAGGAAGGTTTCCGGTCTGAGTTCAATCTGATAACCAGTAATTTCTTGTAGCCAGTTTTTAATTTGAATCCAGAATGCTCTGGTCTCAGGGCATAGCCACCACATATGATAAAATGTACCATCAACCTTCTTAGATTTCCAGCATTTTGAGCCTGTGTTAGGATAAATTTTTGCCAATCTCATTGGGACTAAATACCACCTGTAAAACATTTTATATATGTTTTCTTTGTATGCTGAGGATATAGTTAATTTATAATTTTTGTTCCATATTTTCTCCCATTCCCCATTTTATACTGTATGCAAAATTCTGAGCCCATGCTATCATTGTAGCTTTCACTGTTTCCTCTTCCATTTTAAAGTCTAATAAGTATTTGTATATTTTGGTCATGAATTTTTGTTCCGGTCCTATTAAAATATTGTCTAGTTGGTTTTGCCCTTTATCAAATCCAAAATCTTTAAAAATATATATATATTTATTTTGGATTTGCAAATATGGCCACCAATCAATTATAATTCCATTTTCCTTTACTTCATGATTTGATTTTAATTTTCCTTGACTATCTAATAGTTCCCCATAGCTTACCATTTTCCTTAAATCTAATCTATTTGGGTGGATCATGGCCTCCATGGTTGACAGCCATAGTGGTATTTCCATATGTTTATTTTTGATATTCTTCCATGTTGTAATCAATGAACCCCTTATTAAATGGTGGTTAAAATAGGTACATATATTACTTTATCTCTCTAAAAGTTCTTAAACATTATCTTTGATCCAGTATGTTTCTAATTATTGTTAGTAAAGCCAAGCTTGGAAAAGATTCACATAAGAAAAAAACACAGAATAGGCAGTATCTGAACATCTTGCAAGCCTTCCACTATGTTTGCACAGGGTTGATATATTTCTCAAGGACAGCCATTGTCACATGCAGTGCTCTCAAAAATTATGCAATGTGAAAATAATTTGAATGTTACTTTTGCTTCCCATCTTCTAATGTAGCAGATAATAAATTTTCTGAACAATTTGCATGGACAAGCAAAATTAACAAAAACAACCTACTTACACAAGAAGTGGTTTACATTAATAGTAAATCACTTTGTGCTCATACAATAGTGTAAAAAATGTATATTGAATACTATATAAGCTATTTGTATTACAGTACTCTAAATGTGTTTTAGGGTAATGAAATATTTATCACAAGTATTTCTGCACTGTTTTAATAATTAGGCAGCCTTTGTTTGTCTGCTGAGATTTAAAATTCTGATGGATGAGATATGCGTGTGGAGGAAGGTGAATGAGATTTCTGGGATTTTAGAAGCACTGCACAAATATAACAACTTACTCATCCCATTGCTTATTTTGCTTTCCATAAAGCAGCGTATCCAAGGCAACAGCATTAACATCCAGAGCTCCTGGGGAAGGCCACTGATTGGTGAGATGGGTAGTTAATTCTTGTCTTGATCTTAAATCATTATTCTTTAGCACAGTTCTGTAAACACATAGTGAATTTCATGCCATTAAAAGTAATATCTTAAAATAAAGGAAGAAAATAGGCTGTTCTTGAAAGGTTTTCCTGCTGGCATACTAAAGCATTTTCTCTCAAGAGATTTCTCAATCAAAAGTTGGCTCTTGAAGAACAGAACTAAATTCACATGACACTACAGTATGGGATTTTTTTTGTATTATACAGGAACAGATGATCTGTCAATTACAAATATGGAAATAAACATAATAAATTAAAACAGCTTACATGGTTTACCACATTTGACGCTAAGCAAACTACCAATATTGCTAATCTAAGTGCTAATTTATAGAAGAGCCCTCTATTTCTCTCCCTTTTTTCCAAAACCTAAGTTTTATTTCTGAATCAAGAACAGAATGTTCAAAACAACTTCAATAGTTGATGTGAAGTAATGAAGTACCTATTCATATTTATTTCAAATGGGATGGGGAGGGAAGAATTGCAGGATTTAAATGCTGCTTTATACAAACAAGTTGGTGCAGCAAAATTAAGATGTACAGGATTTCTATATGGGTAATTATGGCAGAAATAACATTGTTTGGTGCCCTAATATTTTCTTTTTAAAATAACAATATAATTTAATCCAAACAAATAGGCTACATCACATTGTGCAATGTTATTCTTACAAATTTGAAAAAAAGTTTAAATATTTTGGGAATTGTATGTATGTGTATATGCATTATTAGATATACACACATAAACACATACACAAACAGATGCATCATTGTTTCATTTCTATGAGCTATATATTGAGCTATATGTCACAAAATCTAAAGTAGGAAGAAAGCACTCTAAGGTACAAATAATTTTTCCCAATCTCATGACTGTCCCTTTAGTCAGAAATATCAAATCTCAGTATGAGTCTCAATAAAGGCTATCACTTGGGAAAGATTTAGAGTGTTTATAACTAATAGTACAACCACAGCTTTATTACTTACCAGTACTATGAATTCTCCTATTGGGTAATCTCCTTCACATATCCCTCTCTATGGAATGAGTTGTGATCACCACCTTGACGACTCAGATCTGTTGAAATTTCAAATGTCATGGATGTGAGCCCATGTGGTGTGTTAACTGTCTTCTAATTTCATGTTAGTAGATAGTGTTAGAAAGTCCCTAAAGCAAGCAAACTAACACAAACACAGCATGCTGAGGAAATCTGAGTTTGCGGATTTATGGAGGAGATAACAATAGTAGAATTCACGTTACTGATATGCAGTCTTTCTGCTGATGACGGTTATTTACCAGGCTGTCACCCTGAGACAACCTCCCCAATAAGAATGAAAAGGGAGAAGTGTGACAAGTGTAAAAAAAATCCAGTTAGTTTTGGGTGCAATTAAATGTTCCAGATCAACTTCATATATTATAAATGGCTTCATTAAATATCAGTTACATCTAAATCACTAACTATTTTTATCTATGTTACCACAAATCAATTTATTTTTCTCTCAAATAATGACTGAAATAGTTTTAAAACTCTTGAAACATTCAAATGTTCAATTTGTAATTTTAGGGAAATGTCCAAATCAATAACTGGAGAACTTTTGCATTTAATGCTTTAGAATTTCATTTGATGCTGTTTCAGTAAGCAATTCCCAATTTCAAAATATTTTACACTTTTTACTTTTAAAGTAATATAAACTAGTAGCTCCTTAAATAAATTCAGATTAATTATGTCCATTTTCTTTCTGCCTTATATATTTGAAAATGTTATAATTTATAATTATAATTTATATTATATTATAAAATTATAATTTCTTGTACAGGTATTCTTACAATGTTCTATCTAGAATAGGCATCCAGTCTTCGTGAAAGATCAGACTACAGATTATAAATAATATAAAATGGTGCAAGTAGACTGCTATCAAATGCAAGATACTTTGATGCTTGCACTGAAAGGTCTACACTGGATGCTAGTTGCCTACTGGCCCAGTTAAGATTCTAGTGCTGATTTATAAACCTCTTATGGCTTGGTTTCTGAGAAATCATCTCTTTTTCTAAATCTGTCCAATGACTTAGATCTCTAGAAGATGCCCTCTGTTACCAAAATCTGTGTTGTACATGGGGAAAAAATCCTTTTATGTAACTGCCAAGCTATGAAATGCTCTTCCTGGCGAAGTCCATTTCCTCCCGTCTCTCCCAATATTTAGAAAAGTCATAAAAGATAGAACTTTTCATTAAGATTTCATCATAAGCTGATGCTGATTTTGTTTTTATTTTATTTTATACTTTTGTTCCAAATTACCTTTAAAAGTTCATATAGGTACAAAGCAGAATTTAAAATCAGTCAATCAGTCAACCTTACTCAGAATTTAATAAAAGGACAACAAGGGATCATTTTGGACAATTTAAAGTTGCTGTAATGTAGTGGTGTGCAAACCACTATTGATAAGTTAGCCCTCAGTTTAATTTTTGTGGGCTGTTACAATTTCCAATATTACACCACAAAAATATTTTTGGTAAAGAATCAGTTATGAGCAGCTAATTTTTGCTGTTTTTTCCTGAAAGAAATCAAAATTCTAAAATAATGTCTGCATACTACCTAAATTGCTTTTTGTATGTATTTGAGGTACATATATGGCAGGTGCTTAGTTTTTTAAAATTATGAGCTTTATGCCAGAAGAGATCTGTGTGTTTGAATATGTGTTTGGGACATCATCAGTTTACCTTTAGAATTCCAATTAGAATATACAACTGCAATTTAATTATAGTTTGTTCATTCAAATTTGATAATTATCATTTGTTACATAAACAAAATTTTGTACCTATATATTTTTTTTTTTAAAAAAAAACAAGTACAGACCAAGTTTAAGCAATGTTTATCAGGAGCCAGTACAATCAGGAGCCAGTATAGTGATGAAGGATAGAGGAAAAAGTAGGGAGAGTCCACTCTCAGTCCCAGAAACTCACTGAGTCTTTCATTCTCAATTTAACCTTTCTCACCGCATTGTTGTCATGGAGAGCAAGGAGAAACTCTACTTGATATACATCACACACACACACACACACACACACGTGTGTGTGTGTGTGTGTGTGTGTGAGAGAGAGAGAGAGAGAGAGATGTATTTACAATAATGGTAAAGGAGGCTTACAATTTGTGATCAAAGTTACAGTTACAACACTCCTATGATCATGATTACATTTTGGGGAATTGGCAACCCATTTGTACTTATGACCAGTTGCCAAGTGCCCTGTCATCATGTGATTGTCCAAAAGGTGATTTTTCAAGAGGCAATTGGACTTTCTTGCTTTTCTTTGAAGACATTTCACTTCTCATCCAAGAAGGTTCTTCAACTGGCTGGATGGTGGGGAATGGATTTATATTTCTTGCAGTCAGCTGGTCATTTGCATTCTTTTATAGAGTCATTGAGGCCACTTGGAGGTTTATCTATGTCCTCAGGTTCCCTTGAGTAGTGCAAATGGGTGTAGAGCCTTCTTGGAACCGTTGAAAGGATTGAGTTGTACAGCTGTGTTTTCTGCAAGATGTTTTCGGCCCTGTGTCTCTTCACTGCTGAACACAGGCATAGACTGGAGATTACTGTGTTGCCTCCATCTCAAACTAAACTGCAAATGGTTCCCGTAGTCTGCATTTTTTTTCTGGAAATCCCTTCATACTCCTGCACCATTTGAGGGAGATCATCCAAAAGTGCATAGTGCAGAAAACATCCTGCAGAAAACATAGCTCCACAACACAGTCCTTTCAGCAGTTCCAAAAAAGCTCCACATACATTTGCATTACTCAGGTGATCCTGAGGAACAGGCAAACCTCCAAGTGGACTCAACAACACCCACACCTGTAGCCCTTATAGACAGAAGAACACTGACACTGACATCCCCTAAATTCTCTTGAAGATATTACCTAGCCTGGTAACAAAACGTTTGGAAACCAACCCACAAGCTCGGACAGTGAACCTTCACCTTCATCCTACTATACCCGAGCTACAGATATTTGCCACTATTGCAAATTTAAATCCATTCTAATATCCCCTGTGTTGGATTTTTTTAAAAAATGAAGCAAGGATGTGATCAAGTGATAAAAGAGATAGAGACAGTTATGATTTGATTCAGAATTAAATAGAATTACATGAGTTACAAGTCTACTATGACAATAAAATCCAAATCTAATGATGAAGTCTTTAAATCAGTGGTTCCCGAAGTGGGTGATACAGCCCCCTGTGGGGGGCGGGGGGGATGCCTTAGGGGGTTGCTAAGAGGCAAGGGAGCCGGCAGGGGGTGCTGGAGGTGGGCCCCACGCAGGGCACAACTCAGAGGTGGGATTCTACTGGTTCATTACTGTTCCCAGTAGTTTGGAGAACCGGTAAAATGGGCCCCTGGCTGGCCCTGCTCCTCTCCGCCTGCTCTTCCATTCAATGCCCAGTCAGTCCTTATTGTGCACGCGCAACATCACACGCATGCACAACAATCACTGACGGCCACAGCGGCACGTTGGAGAAGCAGAGCAAGCAAAGCTGGAGGCCGGTAATTTTCACTGCAAAAAGCATCCAAAAACCGTGGGGTTTTTTTGGTGCAGCTGGACTGCAGCTGTACCGAAAAAAACACACGGAATCTGGAAGTTTTTTGCAGTGAAAATTACCGACCTCCATCTTTGCTCTGCTCCTCCAACACGCCACTGCGCTCAATGAGGTGGACCTGCGGGGCTGGTGCCTAGAATGCGGCTGCAGCGGCACTTTGGAGAAGCAGAGCAAAGCCAGAGGTCAGTAATTTTCACTGCAAAAAATCTCCAGCTGCCACATGTTTTTTCGGTGTAGCTGCAGTCTACCCGCACTGAAATAAATACGCGGTGGCTGTAGGCATTCGTGACAAGGATGACGTAGCTTAGCAGGGAGCCCAGCAACAACAATGGCTCAGCCCTGGCTTGCCTTCCCTGGCAGCCAGCCATGGGAGGAAGGTAGTCACAGCCGTGAAAGAGGCAGTCTGTGGAGGAGGAAACAGGGAGATTAAGAGCT